TTTTTTTTGGCTTTTCTGAGCATTTATTACAAGATCCCAACAGTGTTTTATTTTTTCTTCTCAACATCCTGCTCTGCGGCTTCCTTGGCTCTCTTTGCCCGGATGCTAAAGAGCCGGGCGTTGGCACGGGCCATGCGCAGACTGGTGAATGCCTTGAAGTTCTTTTCCTTCTCTGTGATGACCCTGGCCTTCTCCTTCTTGTAGACATTCCTGATGGGCATCACAGGTCCTGTCAGCTGGGCGGCCAACTTGAGTTCTTCAGCAGAGCTGTCTCCCTTTTGGGGGGCCGATGGCTTCCTGGGGAAGAGGATGAGCTTGGAGCGGTACTCTTTCAGCCGCTGAACGTTGGCCTGCAGGGACTCGGTGGATTTGTCCCGCCGCCTCGGGTCCACCGAGATGCCAATGGTCCGGGCCACCTTCTTGTGAATACCGGCCACCCGCAGCTCCTCCAGGCTGAAGCCCCTGTCGGCTCGGACCTTGGTGTGGTAGCGCACGGTGGGGCAGCGCACGATGGGCCAGATGGGCCCGGACGCGAGGCGCGGGGCGATGCGGCGCGCTTTGGCCTGCCGGGCCTTGCGCCTGCGGATCTTCCGAGCTGGCTGGTTGAACCACATAGCCACACGCCGCTGCCAGTCCTTGTGGAAGTGGGGCTTCAGAATCATGCCATTCCGGCTGGGCGCCATGACTCTTAGGCCGCGGATCGGCGGAACCAAAAGGCCCACCTTCATTCTTGAAACACACCTTTTCTGGTGACAGAATTCTCAGCAGTCATGTCTTTCAAGATATCATTCCACTATCATTTAGTTTCCCTTGCTGCTGTTAAGTCATTCAGTTTTCACGGTAGTTTTATTTCCTTTGGTTGCCATTAAAATTAAAATTTCTTATGTGTGCAGCTCAGTAGCAGAGCACTTGCTTAACATGTGTGAGGCTCTGAGTTTGATCCCCATGTTTCTAATTTTTTTCCCTTAGCCATCAATTATTTTGGTTCCCTGTGATGGGCCCATATACTACTTTCATTTACTCTGCTTAGGGTTATGGACCTGTCTTTTTGAGACAGGCTCTCACTATGCAGTTGACTGGCCTTGAACTCACTTTGTAAAAGCCCAGGATGGCCTCAACCTTGTAGCAATTCTCCTGCCTCAGCCTCCTGAGTACTAGGATTGTAGGCATGCACCACCATGCCCTGTTTGATGCCATAGGTTAATGTCCTGAGTCTACACTGGGAAAGTACTACTATCTCTTCAAATATTTCTTCTGCCTCATTCACCTTTTGCACTCCTAGGATACTCTTTAACACTGGAAACTTTTGTGGAACCTATATACGCTTGTGGATCACATGGCCTATAGATGGCAGCATCAGCATCACCTAAAAGCTCAGCAGTGCCAGAATTTCAGGCATCCCTGGGGCCAAATGAATCCTATCTGCACTTATACAAGGTCTCCAGGTAATTTACATGCTCACTAAAATCTAAGCAACATAGTCCTCTCCTCTTTCCCCTGCTTCCTACTGACCACTGTTGGTGTCTGAGTGGTTCATTCTAGACCAGTGATGATGAAATTTTTAGCACTTTCAATAACAAGTAGCCCACTGAGGCATGCATGCCAAAGGTTCATGACTACTGTTCTAGATAGTTCCTCCTGATTTTATCTTCTACTTCTCTAATTCTCTTCTATATTCCTAACTTTTCAATTGAAATGTAACACATATAAAAAATTTCACAAACCTCAAGAAATTATTATTAAGCAAATATGCTCGTCAGCACCCAAGTTAAGAAACTGAACAGCTCTAGAGGTCCACAGGCACCTCTGGCCCTCTGCCAATCTGTGTGACTACCATCTGTCTGCTGTTAAATCTGACCACTGAGTTCTTTATCTTTGTTAATTTAGTCTTCTAGAACTTTTTTATTGATTCTTTCTAAATCTAGAAGGATTTTTTTTTTTTTTTCTGGCTGGTTCAGCCTGCTTTAACAGTGGGCTTGGTGCGGCACGTGGAGCTGGGGATCAAACCACGGTCCCCAGCGCCTGACTGAGTTTGCCCAAGCAGGCGCTTTAAACAACTGAGCTAAACCACAAGGCCCCTCTTTTCTAAATCTATTTTTCCTTATAGCTTTAAGTTCTCTGCTGAATGGCTCTCTCTGAAGATGGCAACCATAGGTACTTTAATGTCTATGTCTAAAGCCCTGTGGGTCTCCACTGTCTGCTGTTTATCCAGCAGGTCCAGCTCATAAGGTCTCATCCTCTCATGTCTAGTCTGAAGTATGCGTTCAACACTGCATTTGAAAACAAATATTGTGAGGTAGAAGGTACAATTCCTTCGTAACCTTTGCAAGGACTCTCACTTACTCTTGTGGGTGAGCTGAGTGCTGAGCTGGGCCTGTACAATGCCCTTAACCCCAGGCCACCCTGCATGAGAGCTCAGAGGTCCATCCACAGTGGGTCTGCATTCTACCTGGTGTTGCTAGGCTGTCAGAGGTATGCTCAGCCTAAGACAAAATAGCCCCCAATAATGGATGACTTTGATTTCTATCATCTCCTCAATCTTAGTCTAGAAAGTATCACTCCTTTTTTAGCCCACTGATATTGCCAGGTACTTCTAAATTTTACCTGAATTAAACCTTAGTAAGGTTTAATGTGAAAATAAGAATGAAGCCAGGTGTAGTGGTAAAGTCTATAGTTCCAGCCCAGCACCCTTGGAGGCCAAGGCAGAATTATGGTCTAGCCTGAGCAATTCAGTGCCTTACTAAGATCCTATCACACAAAAAATAAAT